GGGCTTATAGGCTTGTTACGAGGTCTTTAGGATTTGGGGTTTCGGGTTTCCCCACTCCTTCCCTGTGATTTGTGATGCGTTCAGGGTGAAGGGTCAGGGTGTATTTAGGCTTGGGCGCAGGGGGTACCGTGGGGGTGAGGGGGATGGGGTGTCAGGATTTTGGGGCTGACGTAGAACTAGGGTGTCGGTGCTTCCCGGAAATCTGTTGAATCGTATGTGGAAATGTTAAGCTTAAACGTTAGCGGTTTGGGTTGCCTTCGTTGTTTGCAATACGCACGAGGGATTAAAGTCAGGCTTGTTGTTTAACGGCTGCATTTCGATCCTCAGAGATTGGAGTGGCTGGAGAGCTGCTGAAGTCGTGCGTTCTTCAGCTGAGGGCATCGTGCTTGCTGTTGGCACACGGATCTAGAGAAACACTGTAAGCGTTGAACCCTGAACCTCAAGCCTCAACCCTAAACCCTACACCCTCAACTCTAAACCCCCCTAAACCCGAAACCCTAAACCCTAAACCCTAAATCCCAACCTTAAAACTCCAAACCCTCGAGCGAACATTCCTTCTCATCACGCAGGCGGACCTGATCTCATTCTCTGCGGCCATCAGCACCTTACTTCGCCCTTAGTTGAACTTTAAACTTGTTGGGTTTAGGGTTTAGGGTTTAGGGCTTAGGGCTTAGGGTTTAGGGTTTAGGGTCTAGGGTTTAGGGCTTAGGGTTTAGGGTTTAGGGTCCCTTATTTAGTGGGAATATTAACATTTAACCTTTTTGTTTTACCCCTGGCTGTTGGAGAAGTAAGGCACTTGCGCCGGTGCTCAGAAGTGGCAACAGGCAGTTGGGCGGCTTGGCCACCACTGGGATGATAAGGCTTCAGGGTTTAGGGTTTAGGGTTTAGGGTTTAGGGTTCAGGGTTTAGGGTTTAGGGTTTAGGGTTCAGGGTTGAGGGTTTAGGGTTTAGGGTTCAGGGTTCAGGGTTCAGGGTTTAGGCAGGGTTTCCTTTTTGGCAGCCAGGGGATGCCTTTGAGAGGCCGCGGGCGTTTTATAAGTAGACTTCCTTCCGGATTGAGATGCAGGAGGACTGGAGGTTCAGGGTATTTCTGAACCAGTTATCACTGTACTTATAACCCACTTATCAGCCCCTTAAGTGCCCTAATATGGTTATATTTGGGTTATAAGTACCCTAGACCCTAAACCCTAAACCTAAACCCTAAACCCTAAACCCTAAACCCTAAACCCTAAACCCTAAACCTAAATCTAAACCCTAAACACTCCCGCTTGCCCAGAAGGGAGGGTTGGGTGTTTTGAGGCTTTGGGGCGAGGGAATTTCTAGTTTTGTTCAGGGGTTATTGGCGCAAAAACCCATCCTTCCAGAGTCTATAGTATAGAAAATGATGGTGCTTCTTGGAAGGTGGCCCCTCTTATTTAGGGCACCCAAAAAGGGACCGAACTCTAGAGAGTTGACCAGAGAGGGTTTAGGGTTCGGCTTGCCCGAATGATCGGGACCACGTCAATACACGTATAATATTTAACTCTTGGTGCACAATAGTTACCCCTAAACCCTAAACCCTAAACCCTAAACCCTAAACCCTAAACCCTAAACCCTAAACCCTACACCCTACACCCTACACCCTACACCCTAAACCCTAAACCTTAAACCCTAAACCCTAAACCCTAAACCTTAGTCAAAAGCACTGGGATCCTTCAAGCCAAGGTTGCTTGAGGAGCTTGCACAGAGCCCAGGGCCCAGAGAGTCTCCCAAGCACACTTCAAAGAACGCGTTTTGGAAGGGTTGGGGTTGTACGGTTTAGGGTTTAGGGTTTGGGGTTTGGGGTTTGGGGTTTGGGGTTTAGGGTTTAGGGTTTGGGTTTAGGGTGTAGGTTGTAGGGTTCAGGGTTTAGGGTGGTTGTTTTTGGAGCTCTTGTATGATGCATTGGAAGGCTTGTGTTGCCATTGTGGCCCCTGGAAACCTAAGCCCCACGGGGCTTTGGCGGTTTTACGGCTTCGCAACTCTGAAACCGCGGATTAGAGGCAGGGCTCAAAGTTATGACTTAGGGCCATGCCCTGGCCCTAAGTCCCCAGATTGCAGGCCGGCCTCGAAGGTTTAGGGTTTAGGGTTTAGGGTTTAGGGTTTAGGGTTTCTGGTTTAGGGGTTACTCAAGGGCACCGGACTGATCATGTCCATGCTGAGTCCTTCCCAACCTTAGCATAAATCCTAATTCTACAAACCTCTACAGACCTTTCCGGGCCCTTTGCAAACATAACCCGAAACCCATATCAACCCTGTAAAAAAATGCATGTTTTCTTCAAATAGGGTCCCCCCCCCCCCCCCCCCCCCTAGACAATAAATCCTTAACCCTGAGCCCTTCTCAGGCTCTAAACCTTATAAACCCTAAACCCTAAACCCCAGACCCTCAGACCTGGGTTCCCAGGCTCCATTCGTAGCGACCTCCGGGTCTACGGCCCCAAGGCTGCACAGGAGTTTAGGGCTTAGGGGTTCAGAGAGTTTAGGGTTTAGGGTCCAGGGTCGAGGGTTTAGGGTTTAGGGTCTAGGGGTTGAGAGTTCAGGATTTACTGTAGGGTTTAGGGGTTAGGGTTTAGGGTTTAGGGTTTAGGGGTTGAGAGTTTAGGGTTTAGGGTTCAGGGTTTAGGGTTCAGGGTTCAGGGTTCAGGGTTTAAGGTTTGGGAAGGCAGGGGGTTTGCCTTTTCAGGTTGTTCTGCGTTGCAGGGGAAAGAATAGCAACATGACCTGTAACTTCACAGCATCACTCCGCTTTGTTCGTATCTATACAGCTCTAACCCCTAGCAAGACCACATGTGCAAAAACCTGCAAGGGTTTAGGGTTTAGGGTTTAGGGTTTAGGGTTTTAGGGTTGTAGGGTTTTAGGGTTTAGGGTTTAGGGGACAGCACTTCGCGAGCATAAATGCGGCGCCTTTGAGCCCTTGGCAGCAGCCAGGGTGGATTTGGAAGGGGCCCCGTTTCTCAAAAGCAAACATACCTGGAGGTTCCTCGTGCCCTCCTTTTGAGCCCGCAAACTATGAATCCACAGAGGTTCCCGACTTGAAATCCCTGTAAGCTAAGTCGGGAAGCCTAAGGTTGACAAATTCGGGCTGGTTTCTGATCCTGTTGATCTCTCGATGTGAAAAGCCCAAAGGCTTCCAAACCCTAAACCCTAAACCCTAAACCCTAAACCCTAAACCCTAGATAACCCCGGAAATGCCTGCGCCCTGTTCCCTCCAGGCGCCATCCTCGGCTCCTTCGCAAGGGCTGGGCAGTGGCGCGGCGCCCTGCGACTGGGCCGAGTTGGCTAGTTTAGGTTTAGAGTTTAGGGTTTAGGGTTTAGGGTTTAGGGTTTAGGGTTTAGGGTTTAGGGTTTAGGGTTTAGGGTTAGGGCTTAGGGTTTAGGGCTTAGGGCTTAGGGCGTAGGGCTTAGGGCTTAGGGCTTAGGGTTTAGGGTTTAAGGCTTAGGGTAGGTTTAGGGTTTAGGGTTTGGGGCTTAGGGCTTAGGGTTTAGGGTTTAGGGTTGAGGCAACGCACAAGATAAGTGAATACCAAACCGCCTGAACTCCCTTGACTGGAGGAAGCCCGTCCTTTCCTTAGCGGTTCAGGGGTCCCCAAAAAAGACCAAAAAAGGCCCTGCAAGGGCACCGGAGGCCCCTAAAAGACCCCCTGGAAGGGCACAAACAAGGGTTGGAGCTTCGGGGTTTCTGAGCTTCAAGGCGTTGTGGACCTGGGGCGCCTAAGGGAATGGGCTTATCCTACAGGACCCAGACGAGGCCCTTATTCCCTGTTTGTAGGGTTTTGGTTCCCTTATTTGCCCCTAAAAACCAAGAAAAAACATAGGTTCCCTTGTAAGCCCCTAAAAAACCAACAAGGGCACTTGTTTTTATTGGACTCTTGGGTCTATATAGTACAGGGTTTAGGGCTTGGGAATCTTAGGAGGATTGGCCCAAGGCCTCAACCGCACAGTCAAGGCCAACTAACCCTGAAGATCCGAAGCCCTAAGCCCTGAACCCGTATGAATCCTCAAGCCCAAAAGACCCCAAACCCTCAAACCCATGGACACCTAAAAGACTCTGAGGCACTTGACAAAGACTGGCTAAAGACTGTCACTAAACCCTAAAAAACTTAAACCCCAAAAGCCTATAGTTCTGGTTTAGGGTATGGGGAACCTGCTTTCTCCCACAATAGGGAAGTTCTCTGAAATCGGGTTCCCAATGTCATCCATCGTCGGGATCTTTGGGGACATGCCCCGGAGAATGGCCCAGAAGCCACCCAAAAGCGGTGTCAACCTCCCCAAAGCCCTAATCCAAGCCCCTAACCCTTTGACCCCAAACCTCCTAAACCCCCAACCCCGCCCCCCCCCCCCCCCCCCCCCCAAGAAAGAAGAATAACAACCATAAAAAAAGCTCCTAAACCCCTAACCCCCCTCCCCCCCGCCAAAAAAATAAAATTTCAAAATAATGACAAATAATGATAAGAAGAGCAATGATACTAGAGAAAAGGGGCCATCAGTAGTATAGCTGCTCAACCACAGACTCAAGGTCGGTTCTGGACCAACTCCGCCAGAAGGGAGCCTCGGTGCACGTGGGCTTCGAGTCTGAGGGTTTAGAGATTTAGGGTTTAGGGCTTTAGCGCTTTATGGTTTAGGATTTTAGGATTTAGGGTTTAGGGTTTAGGGTCTAGGGTTTAGGGCTTTAGGGGTTTCTGCGGGGTGTTTGGGGGTTTCGGGTGTTTAGGGGTTTGGAGGTTTTGGGGGGTGGGGTAGGGTTTTAGGGTTTGGAGCATGTGGGGCGTTTGGGGCGTTTGGGTTGTTTAGGCTGTTTGGGCTGTTTAGCGTGTTTAGGGTTTTGGGGGTGTAGGGTTTAGGGGGTTTAAGGCTTGAGTAGGTTTGGGGGAAAAACGACGACGTCTTGATTGAGCCTGACGCCCTAAACCCTAAACCTCACACCCTAAACCCCAAACCCCTACGCCCTAAACCCTATATAAACCCTAAACAAAGGCCTGCCCATGGACACCATGGCCTGCAACGCCGGTCTGACAGCCTGCCAGCTGCTTGCCAGTTTCACTCAGTTGGCTTGGGGAGGGTTTAGGGTGTAGGGTTTAGGGTTTAGGGTTTAGGGTTTAGGGTTTAGGGTTTAGGGGTGGGGGAGGGTTTAGGGTTGAGGGTTTAGGGTTTAGGGTTTAGGGTTTAGGGTTCAGGGTCAGGGTTACAGGGTTGGTTTAGGGTGTAGGTGTAGGGTGGGTGGAGGCATGGGGGCGGGGGGGGGGGGTTGCGGGGCTCAAGTTTCCCAAAGCTGGTGGCCCATTCCGAAACAATCGATCATCCCTAAACCCGACCATTCGTAGACTTTAGACGTTGGAGTTCCAGGGTCTGGGTTTTGGGATGCATGGGTTCTGGGATTGAAGGGGCCCAAGGATTCAAAAAGTTTTTGGAGAAGGTTCAGGGTTTTCAGGAGACAGGGGGCTTCGGCCTTGGTAAAGAATGAGTCATCTCCCAGTTGTTTGTTCCTTGTGAGACGAAGCTTGTTCTCAAGCAGATGCCTCAAACATGTTCATAACAGCTGCAGTAGGAATAGTGAACTAACTAGCGCATCATCTTCATGATTGTAACTTGGGATGTTCCCCCTTATACTAACAGTCCACAATAGGGATTATAGTACTTGCTGTTATAATGCCTATTACGGACTGTGTGTACAAGGGGAACATCCCGATTTACAACGATCGTTGCCGCGCTCATTTTGGGAACCTCGGGGATCGAGCGGGTGACATGCTGCAGGAAGACGGCCTGTTGGGACGAAGCTTTGCCCATTCTGGAGAGCCTCCGACTGCGAAACTCAGCTGCACCGCTCGGAAAATCTGCATAGATGCCCTAATTAAACCCTAGTCCCTAAACCCTAAACCCTCAAAAACCTAAGAGACCCAAACCCTAAAACACCTTTCAACCCTAAAGCCCTACAAAAGCCTAAGCCAGTCCACCTGTTCAGGGTTTAGGCTTCTAGGGCTTTTATGGCATTTATGGTGTGGGTTTCGGGTGCATGCAAGGGCAGCTGCGCGGCGACATTGTCACGTACACGGCCGTGCTCTCTGGGCTCAATCGAGGCTTGTGAGTCTGGCTGTCGTGCTCCTAGCTGTAAAGCAGAGGCGGGTTTAGGGTTTACAGTTCGTGGTTTACGGTTTAGGGTTTGCAGGGCGACCTGTAGGGTACAGGTCGTAGAACATGGTACAAAATGTCGCAGTATCGTGGGGAATACGTTATGGGTTCCCTTTCCCTTATAAAGCAACCAGCGCCAAAAACTGGGTGCCCCTGAATAAAATATGGTTACTGGGCTACCAAGTATGGCTTCATACAGCTCATTCGCCCGAATACTGTACATGCAAAGCTTATAATAAGAAGCCCAAAACGCATTCATCCCCATGCCCCTGGCCCATCCTCCCTTGAATCCTACATCTCAGGGAGAACCCAAGACCTTGGGTTTAGCGTTTGGGGTTTGAGGTTTTAGGTCCCCTAATTCTTTTTCTGGCATTCCCCACCCAGTCCAGGTGGAAAGAAAGGGGACCCTAAACCCTAAACCCTGAACCTAAACCCTAGCCCTAAACCCTAAACCCTAAACCCTAAACCCTAAACCAGAACGTTGTTTTCAGAGTTTCAGGCGGCTGCTGGATGGCAAGCATGGCCCTCTCGCTTGAGGCGCCCTCGCCATCCTCACCTGGGGGCTGCTGCTTTTTACAGAGGGTTTAGGGTTTTTAGGGTTTAGGGTTTTTAGGGTTTAGGGTTTTTAGGGTTTAGGGTTTAGGGTTTAGGGTCCCCGCCCTAGCAGGCTCGGGGTGTTCCAGGGCTAAGGGAGTATCCAGGTCGATGGCCGGCGGCACGTTCTACAGGTTCATGGGTCAGGTTCTGAGGGTGTAGGGTCGCGTTCTACGCTTCTTGTTTGCGGGTTTTAGGGCATATGGGTTTTCGAGTTCGGGACTCTAGGCCCCGGGGGCCGCAAACGTGTGGAAGACTGAAAGCGCCCGACCCCTCCGGAACTCCTCAAATCAGCCGGGTTTAGGGTTTAGGGTTTAGGGTTTAGGGTTTAGGGTTTGGCACCTAAGCCACGAGAATGCCCCAACTCAACCCCTCAACTGGCCCTGAATTCTCAAATCCGAAGCATGTACCCCAAACCGTATTCTGAAACCGAAGGCCCCAACTCGAATCCCTAGACCCTAAACCCCTTAAAGCCTTGAAAGCCCTTACCCTAAACCCTAAACCCCAATCCCTCGTGCGGGCAGTGCCGCCAGGCCCCGGACTGCGACGAGGCACTGCGCATCGCGACGCTTGCTGGTGCAGGATCGGGTTTCCCTAATAGGGTTTAGGGTTTGGGGTTTCGGGTTTCGGGTTTCGGGTTTCGCTACCCGTTCTTGGGTTTAGGGTTTCGGGTGTCCCTAAACTTCGAGGTTTCAGGTTTATTGGCCCCTCTTGGGTTTAGTGTTTAGGGCTTATGGTTTAGAATGTTTTGCGTGTTGGCATTTAGGGTTGGGGTTCAGGTTCTTAGGGTTTTAGGGTGTACGACTTATGGACTAAGATGGTGGCTTATGGGGGTGAGGTTGGGTTGGGGGGCGGGGTTGAGTTCAGGATTCAGGGTTTAGGCCTTAGCCGTTGGCTTTGGCCCTTCATCCCTTTTAATTTTAGGCAAGCCCTGAACACCTTACACCCTCCACACCCCACAACCCTGAATCCTAATCCCTAGGCGGCTTCCGATTTAGGGTTTAGGGTTTCGGTTTAGGGTTTAGGGCTTAGGCTTGTACCCCTGGCAATCTGGTTCAAGGCGTCGGCCGCTGGGATCAGGCCCTCGCGCGGCTGCACCGCGATGACGGCGTCCGGAGCACCTTGGTTGGCGTTTTCTTATTGGGGTTTCCAATGTAGTACCTTATTGGGGTAGTATACTAAAATCCCTTTTAAGTAAACCAAAAAGGAACTAAACTAGAGCCTTCAGGTAGGGGTTTCTTCACCCCAGCAAGGGTAGACCAAACTTTGGGAAACTTCCGGATAAGACTACGTACTCGTAGGGTTGAAGGTATTTAGGGTCAGGGATGTAGGGCTTTGGGTTGATCAGCCTTTTTTTGGTACATTCTAGAGATGTTGAGTTTTTAGGTGTTTAGGGCTTGGGCTTCGGGTCATAGGGGGGGGGGGGGTTGTTAAACCCTAAACCCTAAACCCTAAACCCTAAACCCTAAAACCTAAACCCTAAACCCTAAACCCTAAACCCTAAACCACCTTTTTTGGTCTTGTGGGTCTCGGATCGACGGGGCTTGGGCGCAGCCAGGGTGGAGGGTTTCGGGTTGGGATGTTATCCCTTATACTAACAGTCCTTGATAGGGATCCTAGTAGGGGGTACCTATAATCCCCATATATATATATATATAGGACTGGTAGTAGGGATTATAGTAGCGGGTTACCTATAATCCGATTTATTATAATCCCTATATTCAGGGCTGCTAGTACAAGGGGGAGCATCCCAAGTTTCGGGTTTGGAATGGCTGCTCGCTCAAGGCTATGGCGTGGCCATCAAAGCATGCGAGCCGCACGGCCCCAGAATCACTTGAGGGCCTTCGGGGTGTTTCAGGACGTGATTTAAGAAACTGCAGGGATTTGGGTCGGGAGGTTTTGCAGATCAGGGCTGCAGTAGTACGGATAGCTTGCCCGGCCTTGCGCCAGCCCAACTTGTCTAATAGATCTAATCATAAGAGATGGCTTCGTCCACAAGTCTAGGGAACTCAGAAATCAGGTACATTAAACCCTAAACCCTAAACCCTAAACCCTAAACCCTAAACCCTTCAGGGCTGGCATGGGACCCGACTTCCCTACTTCCTTGCAAAAATCAGCACATGATAGCCTGGCTCCTAAGTCAAAGGACCCTTCCCAGCAGCTGCTTCGTTCCCCCTTGTACAGGATTATAATAGGGGGCACTAGAATCCCTATTAAGGTCATCCCAACTTATAAGACGCAAACTCATCTGGCACATCTACAGCGCTTTTAACTGCCCTGGCCCCTCTAAACTCACAAAGGGTTTAGGGTCTAGGGTTAACCGACCGGGACCTCATGCACGTTTTCCACTTCAACAGCCTGCAACCCTAAAACCCGAAGCGCTGAAACCCAATCTCAGATCCACATTATCGACTTAGGGATCTAAAGCCCCAAACCCTAACACCGAAAACCCTAAAACCCCTAACACCCCTAGAGCCCCTAAAACCCCTAAAGCCCCTACACCCCTAAACCCTAGTCCAAGAAAGACCCCCCCCCCCCCCCTACCCTAACCCTAAACCCTAAACCCTAAACCCTAAACCCTAAACCCTAAACCCTAAACCCTAAACCCTAAACCCTAAACCCTAAACCCTAAACCCTAAACCCCCCCCCCCCCCAAATCCAGCCGAGGGATTTCGCCGAGTGGCCGGCAGCCCTTCGGCTTCTGGGGGCCTTTGAGGCAAGGCGCCTTGCGAGCCAGGCGGGGTGTACGGGTTTAGGGGGGGTTTAGGGGGTTAAGGGGTTTAGGGCCGTAGGTGGGGGATCTGAGTCTGGGCTTTAGCTATGAAAGGTTTGAGGATTACAGGCTTTAGTGTGTGAAGAGTTTGAAGTAAGAGGATTAGGGTGTAGGGTTTATATAGGTTTAGGTTATGAAATCGTTCTGGAGGCTTTCAGGCTTCAGGGTAGCAGGGTGCAGGGTAGTTCTTACTGTTGGTTAGTAGGCGTCGCAGCCCTGACCTCGGAGGTTACACGAGCATCTTCTGCACTTCAAAGACAAATCGTCTCATTGATGTCTTACAAGAGTCGGTAACTCTCGCAGACGATCGTCACCCAGGAGCTTTACGGGCTTTACAGGTTCCTATGAGCCAAAGGACTGGAGTGCCTGGGCGGCTATGATTCATTGGATCCGTTCAAGCTTTGTTCAGCGACCGCGATTGCCTCCATGATTCGTCGGGACACCTATATATACCCTTTAAGGGATTATATAGGGTACCTCATTCCCTCATTCCCTACTAACCAACAGTAAGAGTTTTTGGATGTGGTGGCTAGTGCCTGTCTGGGTTCAGGTTCGCCTTGAGGGTTCGGGGTGTAGACTCTGTGCTTTAGGGCTGAGGGAACCCTTAAGTCCTAAGCCCTAAACCCTAAACCCCCGGTTTTTGGAGGTTGGAGGTGAAGGGCTTCGGACGATGCTTTGAAAGTTTACGGCTTAAGGCGGGCTTAGGGTTCGCTTGAATGTGTAGGGATCGGTGTTGGGTTTGTTGGTGTTGTGAGTTCAGCTTTGTTTAGGACTCAGGCTATTCCAGCCGCACCCCCGTACGCTCAAAGCCCTGAATCCTAAACCCTAAAACCCTGAACCCTGAACCCTAAACCCTAAAACCCTGATGCCTGCCACATGGGCCAGGCGGTCGCCCTCAACTCAGGCCTCAGCGCTTGCGAGTGCTTCGGAGGATTACTATAGGGGCCTAAGAATTTGAATTTGGTGTTGGGGATTTTACCCTATATTTAGATAGGGACCGCAAGGGAATTTTATTTGCAATTATTCGGACCCCTATTCTCACCGTTTTAGGGTTTCTGGAGGGTTAGGAGTTTACCCGTTGGCTCCCACGCCGTGTGTCCTGTCGTAGCCCAGTAGATCCCTCCCCCTTGAGCCTTGCAGGTAGGGCTGGAGGGCTGTAGTAACAAGGACCCGGAGTAGGCCCTTATAGACCCTTAAAGGGGCACCCTTTTTCTTCCTAGGCTACTCCTGAGTCTAAACCCTAAACCCTAAACCCTCCTGAGTCTAGGTAAGTTGTGCGGGTTTGGCAGATGTACGATACCGGGGGCTTGGGGATGCTGGTTTGAGGTTTAGGGTTTAGGGTTTAGGGTTTTAGGGTTTTAGGGTTTAGGGTTTGGGGTTTGGGGTTTAGGGTTTAGGGTTTCGGGTTTAGGGTTTAGGGTGATGGGGATCAACGTTAAAAGCAGCCCCCGGAGCTTCAGACCCTAGGCCGCGGACCCGGCGGCCTAAACCGTAAAGCCAAAACCCTGAGACCTGAACCCTAAACCCTGAGACCTGAACCCTAAACCCTAAACCCTAAACCCTAAACCCTAAACCCTAATCCCTAAACCCTAATCCCTAAACCCTAAACCCTAAACCCTAAACCCTAAACCCTAAACCCTAAACCCTGCCCAGGAAGGGCATGCAATGGCAAGCCGCCATCCAGCTGCTCTCCACCTTCGAAGACAAGCGGTGGAAGACGGATGCCACTGGCCTGCACAGTGCCGGCGCATTCTTCAAGGTTTAGGGTTTAGGGTTTAGGGTTTAGGGTTTAGGGTTTAGGGTTTAGGGTTTAGGGAACTTGCAGTTCAGGGCTTCAGGGTGGTTAGGGTTTAGGAGAGGGGTTTAGTTCCAGGCTTGTACCCCTCAGGTCGTACCCTTAGCTCCAAACAATAAGTCGAGAATTCCCTGTAGGTTTCGTGTTAGGGGTCTAGGCAGGGCTTCATGCTTCTGGCTACCCAGGTGATAACGCGCAGTGCCGCCATCACTGCTTGTGCTGTGGTGGCGAAGTGGCCCTTCTCTTTGCAGCTGCCACATGGCCAGCATAAGTAGACGTGCTAATCGAAGTATATAGGCATAAGTTCTCTGGCAGAGAGCGAATTGGTCAGGGTTCCGAATTGCTTTTCGGGGAGAGTGGCAATGCGCTGGAATGGGACAAGCAGTGACAAGCAACCAGCACTTTACCCACACGTTCAAACAGTAACCTACCGTAGTTAGACAGTACTGATGCAATAGTATTTATAACACATATTCGACTTGAAACCTACCTTAAATTAGAAAGTACTGATGCAATAGTAGTTATAACACATATTCTAGTTGGAATTGCCGTTGTAATTGTAAATGTACATTCGTAGATATATTTAGTTAGCTTTTAACACATATATATATATATGTGTGTGTGTACCTACATACCCTTAAACTACAAGAATATATTAAGCATATAAAACAGCCACACACACACACACACACACACATATATATATATATATATATATATATATATATATGGAGCGCCTGCAGTGCGACGTTTTCTGTATATATATATATATATATGTGTGTGTGTGTGTATAAACATGTGAACAGACAACTTCTGTAGGCCTCCACGTCGACGCAAAAGCGCCCTGAGCCAGGTTCCACCAGATTCCTCGAGCTGACACAGTTGCCCTCAATGCAGCGCTGGCTGCCTGCGAGCAAGGGGGGCAGTGGCAGGCCTGTTGCGGTTTAGGTGTTTGGGGGCAATTTGGGGGTTTAGGTTGTAGGGCTTGGGTGTTTGGGGGTTTAGGGGTTTAGGGGTTTAGGGGTTTGGGGGTTTAGGTGTTTAGGAGTTTAGGGGTTGAGGGGTTTAGAGTGTAGGGCTCTTGCGGTATCGGGTTTAGAGTTTAGGGGCTTATACTCGGCACCAGGCCTAGGCTCAATTGCCCCTGTTATTAGTACGGGGCTTCCTCAAGGTAGGGGAGCCCGTTTGGGGTTCTAATAGGGACACCTTTAGCTGCTGCATGTTACAGCTTTTGGGACATGCAAGCGCCATCCGTGAAAGGCATTATCTAGGACCGGGAGGAGGCCCTTATTTCATTTTTCAGGGTAGGGGTTCCCTTAGAATCCCCTTAAAACCAAAAAAAGGGTGCCCTGTTTATTCCTAGGTTGCTCCCGAGTCTGGTTCTAGCATCGTCAGCAGCACCGTTTTGCGTATGTCAAAGGGTGTCACGCCTTCAGGTGTACATCCCAGCTTTGCGGACTCGCTCATTGGGTCTTTTCCAGGGAAACCCTCGACGCACGTGCGCGTGTGTCTGCGAAACATTCCTGCGCAACACAAGCGCACGAACGCAACTTCAATCTCACACTCAGAATCCTCTCAACTCCATCAAACCCTAAACGCAAACGCCGGTCTCCCCAACAAACTCATTTGACACACAGCCCGCAAGGCTTTCGGACATTGACCCGGCTGTTTTCTAGAATTGGAGTCCCCCAAGAGGGAGTTCTGCATGCAGCAGACCAGAGCGTTCACAACCCAACGAGCCTCAAACCGTGCTAACCGCATACTTGAATACCAATACAACCAAGCCCTCTAGACCCTGAAAAGCCTCCTACAGATTGGGATGTTCCCCCCTTATACTCACAGTCCTTAGTAGGGATTCTAGTAGGGGTTACTACACTCCCTCTTCAGGACTGGTAGTTTAAGGGGGAGAACATCCCAACCCTAAACCCTAAACCCTAAACCCTATGTTAGTATAAGGGGCTTAGGGTTTGGGACCTCCTGGCCCCTTCCCAACCTACAGACCCTGAACATCAATGGCCGGAGGTCGCCCTGTTGATGCTGCAGTCCGCCTCGCAGCTTGTTCCGCCCCTGGCAGCCCGGCTTAGGGTTTAGGGTTCAGGGTTTAGGGTGTAAGGTTTAGGGCTTAGGGTGTAGGGCAACTCTCAAGGCCATGTGGGCGGGGGGGGGGGGGGGGGGGTTTCCGAAAAGTAGTGGTCGAATTATGTTTTCGGGGGGGTGCTGCATTTCGGGGCATTCAAGGGGACCCCTTTGTGACCCATCTACCTAGCTACCAGTCGATCTAGCACATCTATCTGTCTGTCTGTCTGTCTGTCTGTCTGTCGATCTATCATATTTTTCCACCAGTCCCCGTCTTTCTTCCCAAACCCCCAAACCCCAAGCCCTAAATCCCAAACCCTAAGCCCCAAACCCTAAACCCCAAACCCCAAACCAATCCTGATCCCTAGCTGAGGATCTCGTCTCCTTCAACTCGGCTCTGAGCGCCTGCGCGGCTGCCTCCGCCTGGGAGTGGGCACTGTCGCTCGTCTTTAAGTCAAGAACGGATGGACGTCGATCGGATTGAGGCGCGCGTGCCACAGTTTGCCTCGGGAAGCCCCCCGCTTCCCTGGCAACCATGGACCCTTATCACCTCTAATCCTGCAAGCACTTCTTCCAGGCTTAGATATGCAGGTCATGCAGGTAACTACAGGCCTTCTAGCTGCAAAGTCCAGGAGTTTCTTCAACTCAGGATGAACATGCACCATCGCTTTAGCACCATCAGCCCTCGAAACCCTCGATGCTCCGGGGTTTCTCGAAAATACGGGCCTGTTGTGGGGTGCCCGAAATATAGGCCCCCAAAACCCTAAACCCTAAAACCCCTAAAACGCTGTCCTAAGCCAGGGAAACTCGCAAGGGCTGAAAGGGGTGCGGCGACCTTCAGTGAAGGTCCTTTCTTGGCAGTTTGCAGAAGTAGGCCGCCCCCCCCCTATGTACCCCCCCCTAATGGGCTGTAGAAAGAACATGTAGTGTGTGTACCCAAGGTCTGGTAAAGGACATTCACAGGGTACCGTGTTATGCGTTGGTCCTTGTTGCAGTAACATTGCGCACAATCCGAAGCTCAAAAATGAACACGAGACAGTAAGCCCAGACATGATTCTTTTCTTGTGCTCCCGATTGATTTTGTCTGGTGATTCTTGTGCTCAAGATTGTGTCTTTTTGTTAGCACCGCAGTAGTACTGGAGCAGTACCGGATGGAGTCGTAGGAGCTGTGCTGGAGTGGTGCTGGAGTACTGGCGGAGTACTACCGGAGTAGTACTGGAGTAGTACAAATCCAAGAACACACGAACAGGGAGCGCAATCCGGACCACGAGAAAAGCAATCCGAAGCACAGCAATGAGCACGACAAATTGAGCTTTCATGGGGTTGTTTTGTGCTCACAGCTTCCCAAAACGGAGTAGTGACCTGTTTTGACTGTTAGTGGGCCAGGGACAAACTCAACTATACTGTGTTCTATACAACACAAGAAAATAATCACCCTTCATTACAGTTCCTTGACAAGAGCCTCACTATTCAGGCGTCTCTTTGAGGAGGTGCACGAGGCTTCGCTGGAGAAGGATGCCATCACCTACAGCGCGTTTCGATGCAGTCATTGGGGTCTAAATTAAGGGCACATTTGGAACCATGGATTCTACGTGCTTCACGGTGGGTTATGAGTACAGTTGTAATTGGTTAATAGGCACCATGAACATGCTTCAGAAGGCCTTCCTGCTGGCAACAGAAGGGTTTTGGGTTTGGGGGTTTGAACCCTAATCCCTCCGAAACCCCCCTAAACCCTAAACCCTAAACCCTAAACCCTTGGAAAGATGCCGGACTCTTCTCCGAGGCTGCACTCACTGCCCATGCTGGCGCCTCGTTCTGGCAGGAGGCGCTTGCCCTGCACCGCCTCAGCACTTCAGTCAGGGTTATGTGGTTTGGGTATTCCAGTTTTCGGGTTGGTGTAGGGTTTAGGGTTTAGGGTTTAGGGTTTAGGGTTTAGAGTTTAGGGTTTAGGGTTTAGGGTTTAGGGTTTAGGGTTTAGGGTTTAGGGCTTCGAGTTGGTGTAGGGTTTAGGGTTTAGGAATTTACGGACGTATTAGGGGTTTACAAGCTTTGTTTTTGGGTGGGGCGTGGGTCTGTGTAGCAAATGGGTGTTCGCCTGAAATTGTGGGCCCTGTTCATGTTGGCATGTTTGTTCCCGCACCATGGCTTAACAGGCGTGCCCACAAGCTACGAATTGCTTAAGAACCCTCAAAAATATAATAACATTCTTCCTTATAAGAGTAATATAGGGATTATCTTGTTTTATTCTTTTGGGGTTCTTAAGCCAATAGTAGACAGGGGCCATGCTTTAGACCATCCCCAGGTAAGAAAGAAGAAGCCGATGCACGATGGGATTGGAACGGACTTGATGGGACGGGTGGCTGGCAGTGTCAAGTTCTCAGTGCTAACAGATAACTATCAGCGCAACTTCTTGCCACACGTACGGCATGCGGGCGTGTCGGAGTGGCCTTGGCGTTGGAAGTGCCGGAAGGGCAAGATCAGCTACTGAAGTGCAGGCAAAGCGAACCCGAGTTCCATAGAGGTAGGAGCCTTCGAATGAAGCCTTAGTCCCTCTTGCCAGAAGAAACTCGACATATTATTAGGATGCCCTGAACCCTAAACCCTAAACCCTAAACCCTAAACCCTAAACCCTAAACCCTAATACTAAAGCAGACCAGGTTTGAAGAGTTGTGCCTCCAGAATCGCGCGGACAGTGGCCCAGCGGCACCCAGCAAGATGCTGCTAGAATCTAGGAACCCCAGGGTCTAGGGCTTCCGCCACATTTCTTCGTTATAAACGAGCAATTACAAGTTCATATGTTAGGGAACGATAGTAGTAATAACAATAAATAGTAATCATGATTATTGCAATAACAATAAAAGTGATACTAAGAACGGGTTCCATCGCCCTCGTCTGCCGCACTTTCCAAGTGGGTGAGTCCATCGTTATTTGCAGTGTTTCGTGCACATGACATGCCTAAAACATCGGTATTTACGACACTTCGTGGCTTCGCTGCGTGCCAATGGCCACAGCATCCAAGTAATCGTCATTTGCAGTCTTTCCTGCACATGACACGCCTAAAGCATCGGTATTTACCGACGCTTCCTGGCTTCGTTGCGTGCCAATGGCCGGAGCATCCATGCCCGCACGATGATAACGTCCGTATTACCAGAGCATGCATGTCCGCACGATGATAACATCCGTGTTGCCAGAGCATGCATGTCCGCACGATGATAACGTCCGTGTCACCAGAGCATCCATGTTAACCTCCGTGTTCCCAGAGCATCCATGTTCGCACGATGGTAACGTCCGTGTTACCAGAGCATCCATGTCCAACTGCTTTTGCATCTACGCGAATGATGTCCAAGACACTCTGCCGCCCAACCAAGCCTTCGTGGACACTACGTGGCTGGACATACCGGAGCCGTGAGTTCGAAAAAAGGAAAAACTTTCCCCGCAAAAACACCGAGCTTTTGCTGCTTTTGGAAAATGAAAAATCACTTTGCGATTAGGACCCTTTTACCCTTCCACTTCCTCACCCGCAACTTGCACAGGAAATGACCGGCCAACACCTAGGCGAGAATACAAGTTTGGCAATTCCTAAAGCTCAGCGGTAAACCTGAAGGCCCAAAAGACCCGATAAACCTTGTGGAACAAGCTGCAAACGCAGTGAAAGCAAAGAACACCAGCCTCTCAGTACACACTCACCCTGGCTAAGGGCAACTTAGGCCCAAACCTAAAGCCCCGAAAGGCCTTACATCCTACACCTGATACCTAAAAACCCCTTACAAGCCCTAAACTTCAAGCCTAAAGCCCTAAGAGGCCCGAAAGCCCGACCCTAAAACCCTAAACCCTCAGCCTAAACCCAAAACCCTAAACCCTAAACCCTAAACCCCAAACCCTAAACCCTAAACCCTATAGGCCCTAAAGCCATGAAGCCCTAAGCCCCACCAGGCGGCGCCGCTGCAGCCGCCATCGCGGCCTGCGGAACGGCGGCGCAATGGGCCGCAGCGCTCGGAATGCTCGAAGCCGAGGCTCGGGCTCCCGGGTTTAGGGTTTAGGCTTTAGGGTTTAGGGTTTAGGGTTTAGGGTGGCTTGTCTGCAAGGCTTAGGGTTCGGGAGGGTTTCTAGTGGGGGTTGGTTTAGGACTTGGGGGTTGCCAGGGTCTAGGTGTTTAGCGGCCAAAGTTCAGTTCTCTCTCTCTTCTTGCTTTGTTGTTGTTCCTCTCTCTTTCACTCAACACGCCAAGCCCCAAGGAAAACCTGAAACCCTAAACCCTAAACCCTAAACCCTAAAACCCTAAACCCTAAACCCTAAACCGCCACGCAGGTCTCAGGCGACGCTCATGAGGATGCCAACGTGCTGCGAGTTACGTGCATGGCGTGCTGCCAGGCCCTCATGACACGACCGTCAAGCCCGAAACCCCATGATTTAGGGTTTAGGGTTTAGGGCTTAGGGTTTAGGGTTTAGGGTAGAGGGTTTAGGGTGTTAAGCACCCAAACCCTCTTCCAGCTCCTCCTCGGCACTGCCCCTCCCCCCCACACACCCCCAGCATCTGAAAATCCGAGCCGCGCATCTCCAAAAATAGCAGAGTCCCTTTGGAGGCTGTTTGGGGCAAGGGACTTGTAGTGTCGAATTTTAGATTCCGGGAACTGACCTGTGTAAACGCAGAGGCAGGCCCGCCTCCCTGAATGTGGCAGGGGAATCAGTGGCAACGAGCAGCACTGTTGGCCCTGACGATGGCGGACTGCCCGGGTGGGGAGTCGCCAGAGAGGGCGAGGGCTTACGGCTGAAAGGTCTTGAAGTTCGAGGCCCCCTCTAACAGCCTTGACAGGGATTGTAATGAGGGGTAACTATAATCCCCAATGAGGGCTGTTAGTATACAAGGGGGAACATCCCAAGGTTTAGGTTTTAGGATTGGAAGCCCTCCAAAAACCCCTAAACCCTAAATCCGAAGTCCCAAACATCCCAAGTTATGGGTTTCAGGGGATGCTTTCTCAAGATTCTGACGTTCCGGGGGGGCGTCATAGTCTGGAGGATGGCCCTGCACAGGTCTAAGGTGCACCGAGGCATAGGGGCTTAGGGTTTTGTATTAGGGTTTAGTGTTTAGGGTTTAGGGCTTAAGAACCGGTAAGTTCCTTTGGTGTTTTTACCACGGTATGTTTTATCAACCGCTCTGCAGTTCGCCCCATGTTTTGCCATTAGGGGGAACCCCCCAGGGTTTAGGGTTTAGGGTTTAGGGGTTAGGGTTTTGGAACAAAAATGCCCATTTATCTAGGGTTTGGTCCGAGGGCTTTTCTGTCTCAGGAGCTCTCTTCCACCTTAGACCCACAGATCTACAGCATGATCATCACGGCACGGATGAGGGCGACTGCATGACGCGTACCTCTCGAAGTCTTTGGACGCCCTGGTGGCTGAGCAGCAGGAAGCCAGGGATAGGATTTTAGGATTTTTAGGGTTTTTCGGGTTTAGAGGGTCTAGGGTTTCGGGTTTAGGGAGTAGGGTTTCGGTGATTGTCCCAAACAAAGATGGTTTTTGGTGATGCGAATGGCTGTTGGGATGCGACTGGCTTTTGGGCCTTGTAGGGCCTGAGCCCTAAACCCTCCCTTAACCCCTACACCGAAACCCTAGGGTTTAGGGCCTTGGGAGTTGAGGGGTTTAGGGTTTAGGGTTTAGGGTTTAGGGTTTAGGGTTTAGGGTTTAGGGTTCCTGAACTCTAAGCCCAACACTTGGCACCCAAAGCCCTAAACCAAACCTGCAGGTCAGCTCTTGAATTTGCGGACTATGTAACCCTTCTGCTCCTCTTGGTAGCCATGAAACCCTTTAGACCCTGCTACTATTTGCTTCAGAACGCCAAAAAGTAACAGATAATAATCCCTATATTTCCCTTGTAAGGAAAACATTTTTAATTTTTTGGGGTTCTTAAGTAATTAGAAGTAAGGGCTCATTTGCCCAGGCTTTTGCCCAAGTCTACCTGATGCTGAGTCGTTCTAAAGTATGAAGGCGATAGAGAAATTCGCATCCCTTGGCCATGGCACCATGCCCGGACGATGATAACGCCCATGCTCGAAACCTCAACTCTTTAACCTTACATCCTGAACCCGCAGCCCCAAAAAGGCTTTCTCAATGTTCAGGGTTTCGAAAAAGCCAACTCTGCGTTCGAGAAAAAAATCAACCGCAACTCTCAGCAAGAGGTGCCTCAAAACATGCCGACAGTCCGAAGGTCCTCCTAGCAACTAGATGCCTAGAGTAGCCAGACACTTAAGCCCCAACTATGAACTTACCCTAAACCCTAAACCCTAAACCCTAAACCCTAAACCCTAAACCCTAAACCCTACGGTGCAACCAGGTGGTCTTTCGGTCGCGCGCTTCGAGCCGCCGAAGAGCGCAGGCTTTGGAGCGCCTGCGGTTCGACCTGAGGCTCCCGAAGCCGCCTCTGGCGGTTTAGGGCTTGTAGGGCTTATGGGTAATTTGCAGGGGGTTTAGGGTTTAGGGTTTAGGGCTTAGGGTTTAGGGTTTAGGGTTTAGGGTATAGGGTTTAGGGTTTAGGGTTTAGGATTAGTTAGGGTTGAGGGTTTAGGGTTTAGGGGGTGTATAGGGTGTACAGTGTGTTTAGGGTTTGTAGACTTTAGAGGGTGTATCGGGTTTATAGTGTTTGTAGGAGTCCAGGGTTTATAGGGTAACTAGGGTAATTCGGGCATCAGGGCATTAGGGTATTTGGGTCTCAGAGCATTAGGATTTATTGAGTATTGGGGTATGAGGGTTACGGGCTCATAGTGTTTAACTCCGGACGAATTTTCTTTTTTGTCCGGAGGGGGGGGGGGGGGGGTTGGTTGGGTTAACTAGAAACACATCCTCCCTAAACCCTAAACCCCAATCCCCAAGCCCTAAACCCTAAATCCTTATGACATGCAGCCCGTGGAAGCGCCATGGGCCACAGCAACAAAAAGATGCCGTCGGCCTTCTCGCGGGATCCGGGCCAAGAGCAAGGAAGCAACCAACCCAATCCCAAACCCCTAAACCCCAAACCCTGAGCCCTAAACCGTAAACTCTAAACCCTAAACCCTAAACCCTTGACCCTTTACCCTTGACCCTTGACCCTTAGCCCTTAGCCCTTAAGCCCTAAGCCCTAAGCGCTAAGCCCTAAGCCCTAAACCCTAAACCCTAAACCCTAAACCCTAAATCCTAAACCCTAAACCCTAAACCCTAAACCCTAAACCCTAAACCCTAAACCCAAACCTAGAAGCGCAAGACCCGAACCTCTAAGCCCCAAGCCCTGCAACCGAAGCCCTGACCTAACCCCTAACCCTACACCCTACACCCTACACCCTAAACCCTAAACCCTAAACCCTAAACCCTAAACCCTAAACCCTAAACCCTGTCCAAACCCTTGACCCTCGACCCCTTAACCTCCAGACTCTGAACCTCTTAAACCCCCAAAACCTCTAGACTCTCAACCTCTTAAGCCCCTAAGCCTCTAGACTCTAAACCTCTAATTCCCTAGACCCCTGTACCTTAAACCCTAAGTCAGCTCTTCAGGGCATTGCCGGCTTAGCGCGATTCTAAGGGTCGGCCCTGGAGCTTCCAATTTGTGCATTGGGTTTGGGGTTTAGGGTTTAGGCTTATTCCGGGTTTACGTTTTTTTTGTGGGATTAGCCTGAAATCTTGCCTCCTTCCATGAACCCTAAACCCTAAACCGTAAACCCCAAACCCTAAAGCCTAAACCGTAAACCCTAAACCCTAAAGCCTAAACCCTAAACCCTAACCCAGGTTCTGGGGCTTGGTTGAAGGGAGCAGCTCAGGGTTCGGGCGTCGCCGCCCTAAAACCTAAGCGGCCCTCCAGGTGGGCGGGGATCGTGTCTTTGGGCAGAGGATGCATGAGAGCATTCGGAAGGAACCACAAGCTTGGGGTTATCTAGGCTTTAGGGTTTTGGCGGTTTACGGGTTAGGGTTTAGAGGGTTCCTAACAGCGTCTCGGGGAGTGCATAAGGGGCAACCCCTAGTGTAGGAAAATACCCACCCTCCCGGAGAGAAAAAACACTCGCCGTCTTGACACCAAGCTTGGCTTACAGCAGCTTCGCCCAAAAGCCCCAAAAACTCCCTCACGGCGCAAGGCCCAGACTATCAACCCATGCTGCACCGCCAAAGCCCTCCAAAACCGCAAGCCCTAAACTAGCCCGTTAGGGTAGTCGGGTGTTGGGGTGTTAGGGTATGAGGGTTTTCTAGGATATCAGGGTATGAGGGCAGCAAACCCTATAAGCCGTAAACCTCTATTGTAAATCCTAAGCTCTAACCCAGCCAACTTGAACCCTGCGAGAGCTTACACGCGCGCCATGGCGTCCCGCGATTTGGTGTGGGTCTCAGACAGTCGGGCTTAGGGTTAAGGGCTTAGGGTTTAGGATTCATATCCTTGGTGAGTTTGCAGGGTCACATTGACATGTAATTGCTGGTGAGTGTGCGTGTATGTTCATATATGTATCTTGCACATCTATATATATATATGTGTGTGTATATGTATATGTATATATATATATATTGTATATATACATATATGTATACACATATATTGTGTGTGGTTTTGGGGATGCTGGGTACTTCACATGAACTTGAGGCTGGGCTTCTTGGGCTTGGGCATGGGGAAGTTGAGCTATGTTCTTGGGTTTCTCGCGGTCTCTGTTGCGGAATATTCTGGGGCTTTGGGCTTCGGGTTGTGGATTGAGGGTTGGTAGCGGAGGGGTTGAGGGACATCGGTCCCTTGCAACATCGGCTGTCGAGCCATTCCCAAGATTCTGGGCGCCGGGCTTGCAGGCCCAAAAAACTCAGAATCGGACGCAAGGCCCCGAGGCTCAACCAAGGAAGCCGAATCCACAAAACCAGAAGCCCGAATTCCCAACACCACCAAAGGATGAGCCGTAAACCCAATTGAAACAACCCCAAATAAAACAACCCTCACCCTAAGTTCGAACACCCTAAACCCTAAACCCTAGACCCTAAACCCTAAACCCTAAACCCTAAACCCTAAACCCTAAACCCTAAACCCTAAACGAACTAACCCTATAAGCCTTTCAACCCGCAGGTCCCTGTCACCCGGGCCTACGCGGAGGTCGGCGGAGGGTCGTGCCTTTCTTAGGACGTGGGTCCCTCTTTAAGTTTGCCTTTAGGGTTTGGGCTTTAGGGGGCAGGGTTAGGCTTCCGGGTTCAGGGTTTAGGGTTAGGGCTTAGGGTTTACCTTTTTTTTCGTGGGTTACATAAGAATCTTATACGGGTTTGTAGGAATGACCCACGAGGAAAGTGCATGTTTGGGTTCTTAAGGTTTATACAAGACATGGGGCTTTTGGGTTTAGGGGCTTAGGGCCGCAAGGTTCACAGGGTTTTTAGGGTTTAGGGGCTTACTGACTTAAGGTTTCCTCCTTGGTCGGTCCACCAACTCCTGGCACAAGAGGCGGTTTTGGCCACGACACTGACTACAACCATGTAGTCTTGGGAGGTTGGCCCCAGGACACAGACAGCAGGTTCATAGAAACCGATGGCCCCAGGACACAGACAGCAGGCTCATGGAGAACGACAGCGAGGAAGTCCTGCGTCGCATGACAGAAGTCGCAATGCAGAAGCTCCTCGCCTACGGCAAGAGGGCGTGCACCAGCCCATGCTTATCTGCCGCCACTTCCACCGTCGGAGGCAAGGACCCGATTCTACGAGCTCCAGCAAAAGTAGGCAAAGGTGATCACAGCTATAGCCCCCTTGGGAAATGTTTGTTTACTTTTGTTTATGTAAAACCCAAGAGGATATTAAACATATTATTGTTATTAAGGTTCTGAGGGGAGTATAGACAGCATGGGGTGGAGAGCCAGTGTGGCTTGAGCCCATCCAGACCGCTTGAAACCCGGTTTTGTGGAGCAAGTTGCAGGGGGCTTAGGGGTGTTTGGGGTCTCAAGTGGTGCTTTGGGGTTCAGGGTTTAGGGTTTAGGGCTTTAGGAAGCTAGCTTTCAGTTTCACCGGGTTTAGAGAGCAAAGCACTTGCACCGAGCAAGATGTAGGAACGGTGTACCCCCCGCCCCTGCTTTAAATTCTGGGGGCCCAAACTCTCCATGAAGAGCCGGCAAGTATAGAATGGGTTTAGGGTTGGCAAGTGAGAGCCCCTTCTATAACCTTACATTCGACACCAGCAAGATCTCCGTTTGGATCTTTCCAGCTGCCTCAATCAATAAGCGATCCCTAAAGCCTAAGCACACCAAACGGTATAAGTTGTGCCCTTCCTTTATTTAGGTGCTTCATGGACAGAAACAGACCCTAAACGGCCTACGATCGAAACATCCCCCTTTACACCCCCACCCCTCGAATAAAAAAGGTAAAACAAGTACATGCACATAGAGAAGCAT